CGGCTGATAAATTTGCCACTTCTTGTCACCTATCTGTTGGACAATGTATTGGATATAATAAGGAGAAGTTATATGCCAATCACGTGTACTCACAGTTGTTGTCTGGCATTTTGTTTGTCCTCAGGAAGCCATTGTACTCTTTCAGAAATGGGGACTAGTGGATGGTTTGTTCCTGGTTCGACTGAGCACGAGAGATCATGGATATTATGTATTATCTGTGGTTGTTAATGCACAGATTTATCATTATCAAATTAGGAGCAGGGTAATAATAAACACTTAATTACTGGTCCTGAGGGAAACAGTTTATTTTGTTTCCTGAGAATCTCAATGATTCCCAACGCTATTGAGATTCGAGTGAAACAAAATTAATTGTTTCCTGAGGGACCAGTCTTTTAGTGATTTGTTATACAGCTGGAAATTTTGAAGCTGGAAATTCTTTAAACCTCGCTGTAACGGCATTCATCGGTCAACATTTGCAGGTAACTGTTACCTGCTGACAGCATAGATTTTGCAATGTTTCCTGCTCAAAAATTTTGGCGGGAAACAGTTTCATTGCTAGGTGTCATGTGACCTTGAAGTAACCAATGGGAGCGTGTCTTGTTGGGAAAAAATTTCCAGCTTTGTAACAATAAGATTTATTGAACAACACATTACACAAAGTAATATTCATTGACAAAATATCTTGTTCTTGCTGGGATCAGAAGAATTTTATCAAGAGTATTTATAACTTTCCTGTTGGTGTAAGGGTGTCAAGTGGTTAATTGTTTTCCATGGGTACTGCTTACTGAAAATGCTTTACGCGATGGCTTTTAAACTCTATGGCTGTGGATTAAATTTGCCCTAAAGTAAGGTTGAAAAAGGTTAGTAATCCCTTATATAAACAAATATTTCTCAGTTTTATACTTCACCCTCAAGTGCATGTAAATGTTGTGGTTCAAATTTAATCTTTGGTTTGAATTTTTCAAACCAGTTTAAAGTTTTCAAACTGGTTTAAAATTTTTAAACTGGTTAGAAATTTTTAAACACACAACTCTTTCTCATCAAAGGGTCACACTTTAGCAAGCGTTGACAATTTAGCGATTAGGTTTAAGCGTTTATTTCAAATGGTTAGCATTGCTTAGTACACAGTTTGACACTTTTTGTGGAAATCATGCATTGTGTGTGCAAGCTACCGATAAGTCACTAATCTTGTAGATGTAGATGTAGATGTAGATCATGTAGATGTATGATAAATAGAGGATATTATATGGCCGCGCGGAGATACGAAATTTCTCTTCGAGTGTTGAAAAATATTTCACGAGTGAGTGCAGCGAATGAGTGAAATATTTTTTTCAACACAAGAAGAGAAATTTCGTATCTCCAAGCTACCATGTAATGTTCTATTTATTATATAAACACCAATGAAATGCCAAACCATTTTACTTAAACAGTTTTTTGGTCTGAAAGGTGCGGTTTATTATGAAGCCATAGCAGTGGTAATATTTTCTCATGTGAAGATATCAAGTTTTTGCGCGAAAGCTCACTTGGTATTTCATTGGTGTTTATATAATAATATCTGATATTTGCTCTTTGACAGTGTGACAGATGGTTTTATATTGACGATGGTCCACTATTTGAAACTCTTCCACATGTCATTGACCACTACAGCAGATGTGCAGATGGTTTACCAGTTCTCCTTAAGACGCCCGTTCCACCCGATAGTAGTCCACCAAGAACTACTCAGAGTATTGCACCTCCTTCCGTGAGAAAGCCACCAGGAATGCGACCACCCACCCTTCCCTTATCATCTGCTGTTAGTACCCCTGTACTTAGCATGTCCCCTGGAAAAAACCAGGTTGCAACAAGAATTCCTCTGCAAAGGGCGGAATCGGCTGTAAGTGTTCTTTGTTTCAATACTTGTTCTTTTACGCCAAAGATCTCCCAGGATCCGTAGACGCACTCTTTCAATACTAAGTTTTCATTTTGATAACAGAGTTCCAAGCCCCAACTTTTGGACACCAAGATGAGCAGAAAAACAATTTGACAGTGGGACTGGGTGGTAACCAATTCAGTCCGTAATCATAACAAAATGAGACAACCGCATAGTTGGAGTCTGGTTTGTTTAACCCATTTATTTGCTGTCAGTAATGGCGCTGAAAAATGCATTTTGAAGGGGTTTGAGCCATTTTTTGGTCACTGTTTGGCCAAAAGGATCCGCACTGTTTTTACATCAAGCACTACACTGCCTTCTGCTTCAAATGCTTAATATCAGCTTGTGAAGCTTGGGTATACGAAGAAGGCAAAAGTTTTAAGTAGTTTTAGGGCTTGAAAGTGACACTACCTCCTCAAATTTTACCTTTCGCACTCCCTCCTCCCCTCTTCTTTCACTTTTCTTGCCCCTCTCCCCATCCCCTCTAATCCTTATTTTCTTTTGCTGCGAATTTATTAGGCTTCATTATGGTGGGAAAAGTTTTTGAAAAAACGTTTAGGATAGTAGGATTAAATGGAAGAAAATGTAGCTGGGAAGTGGAACCAAATTTTTTGTTCAACCTCATTGAATATATAGAGGTGTATGTACACTCTGTATACTACGTACATGTTACTCGTTGATTCAAATCAGGACGTCTAAATAATTCTTTGGGGTGTTCAAAGCCTTGTTATCTCATAAACTATATTGAAACTGATTTGTTTTACCTTTATTAGGACTTCATTAACGGTGATTCTACGAGGCAACCCCCCATGTCATTCAACAGGTCTATTAGTGAACATGGCTCTGATATGCCGAACAGCCAAGATGGAGAAAAGTTTAGTAAACTGGATGAAAGGCATCCTCTACCTCCGCCACCCATAAATCCGCCACCTAGAGGACAACGACGACCACCACCGCCCCTTCCACCTCCTTCCCCTACGAAACCATCCCTCCCCGCTCGACCTCCTGCACCTGGTATGTGGCTTGATAAAACTGCTTAGACCATGGAATTAAGTTTAAAATCGTACCTTATACCTATAAAACCTTAGATGGACTTGCTCATGCTTATAATACAGGACTTTTAGAACTCAAAGCTGTTTCTAGATACAACTAAGATCTTCTGACAAGACGCTGTTATGCGTCTGCCATGGCACCTAAACTATGGCACAATAGCTCCTGAAAGCTCATTTATTTGGGGTCGGGGGTGGGGGTGGGGAATTTATCATTCCCAGGTCAACAATCTTATTTTCAATATGTATAGTGAGACATGGCCAATTTTCCATTTACTTTATGTTTACTATATTATTTTTACTCCTATATTGTAAGGTAAGCCTGTGTATTTTATTGTAATGTTTCTGCCATAATGTGCGTGTGAACAGCTTCAGGACAACACGTGGACTATAAGTCAATCAATTATTATTATCATCATTATTAGGAGGCCATCGCTAGGGTTTTATTTACACTGGTTAAAATGGTACTTGGGAACAGTTGGATTTCGGATTTGACATGGAGTTGCTAACTCCATCAAAGTGGGTGGTTCTATAGCACACACATGTAATAGCCTGGGGATTCCAATGAGTGTTAAAGGGGCTGTGTCATGGCAGTCCAGTTCATTTTGTTTAATTTTGCCAATTACTGGCCCTAAATCGCTATGGAACTTAAAGTAAGCAAAGAAATTACAGGTAAATAACAAAATCAGTGATCCGAGACAAACAAATATGTCTCCTGAGCATTATTTTTGAAATTACAAGCAGCCGGGATCAACTTTGAAAAACTGTTGGGCAGAACAGTTTTCAAAAACCCTAATTTCAGTCCGTTTCAGTCTTCTTCAGTTTTGCCCATCCATGGTGTCTGTTGTTTCTGTTATGTTATTTTAACCTTCCTTTAATGTTTTAAGCGTTTATTTTTATGTTTCTCTTAATTTAACGGGTATTTTGTAATTTCCTAATTTGGCTGAATTTCGTGACACAGCTGGTTTAACAATCGACATAACAGGAAAATTTCCAATCTCCTTTTTGTCGAATGACCAACTGTTACATGTATTTACAGATGAGGCCCCATGCCAGTTATTCAAAAGGTTGATGATACTATCCACTGGATAAATCACTATCCACTAGATAGCGCAATTGGTTTCCCTAACACTACCTCGTTAGATATTAGACTGATTTAGCAACAGGACGGGAACGTCAGTTGACGACGGGAAAACGCGCGGAAAGGACTAAACACGACTTCCGGTGCCTAGTTTGCCGCTCTGCCATTGGTCAAGCCAAGCCAGTTGTTAGTTTGCGCGCGCCGTCGTCAACTGACGTTCTCGTTCTGTTGCTAAATCAGCCTATTGATTCAGGGGCACCCAACGTCAATTTTCGGAAAATATCTGTTCGGAACACGATTTGAGATCTAGAATTTTCGGAACATTTGTTGTAAAATTTCTTGCTTGCCTGCCTCTCCTAGGATTTTCGAACATTTAAAAAATGGTATAATTGCCCATTTTTAACGGATTTTTACCCTAAAAAGGTCACCTAGAATTTTCGGGAGCCTTTTTTCTGGCTCAAATTTTCGAAAAGGTAAGTTTTGATCCCTATAATTTTCGGATCACTAGACTTTCAGCTAGGAAATCCGAACAGATGAAAAATTTGTAGGGGATAAAAATATGCCTACATCTACCTCTTCTTCGCAGCCCTTATTTCTTATAATATTGTGATGTCGAGGTGGCCTCTCTATATAAGCCTGGTGGTTTCTCGAGGTCTCCTCTCCTAACAACCTAATGTATCCTGTAAAATTTGCTGTAAAAAAGGCTAATAAAAAAATGATAAAAATAAAAATAAATACTAAAATACGTTTAACAATCCTATGTTTAAGTGGTGTTGAACTATATTCTCGATTGGTGCCCCTGATTGATTTATCTGGTGGATAGCGCTATTCAACTTTTGAACAACTGGGGTCTGTAGGGGAATGTGTAATTTTCAGGATATTTTGTATAGTTCGTAATGAAAGCCGTCCTTTTGTTTTGTCCATGGCAGGTTACCCGGTGCAGTCTCAACAGACACTAATTATGAGACAATCACTTGAACTCGGTGCTGAACTTGGTCAGGGTGAGTTTGGCTCCGTACTTAAGGGAGTTTGGACAGATCCCAAAGGAAAAAAGGTATGGTATTGTGCAGTGCAACTCTAATCTGTTATTTAGCTCTATTTAATTAATTATTTCATTTGAATAGTTTTTTATAAGTACTGTATAACCCCCTCTCCCCCCGCGCGTGCGTTCTCGCGAGCCTCACTTCGCTTGCCCAAATAGGAGAGCTTGCTCGCAGGTTATTTGCCAAAGCCCTATCAATTGTTGCCTGAAGACCAAGAGCAATTATTAACGCACTAAACTGACGAGAAACTGGAAATTTAACCAGGCCACCCTCGTAAAAACGGTTTTAGAGACGAAGAAGGAAAACTGAGCGTACAANAAATTTTCGAAAAGGTAAGTTTTGATCCCTATAATTTTCGGATCACTAGACTTTCAGCTAGGAAATCCGAACAGATGAAAAATTTGTAGGGGATAAAAATATGCCTACATCTACCTCTTCTTCGCAGCCCTTATTTCTTATAATATTGTGATGTCGAGGTGGCCTCTCTATATAAGCCTGGTGGTTTCTCGAGGTCTCCTCTCCTAACAACCTAATGTATCCTGTAAAATTTGCTGTAAAAAAGGCTAATAAAAAAATGATAAAAATAAAAATAAATACTAAAATACGTTTAACAATCCTATGTTTAAGTGGTGTTGAACTATATTCTCGATTGGTGCCCCTGATTGATTTATCTGGTGGATAGCGCTATTCAACTTTTGAACAACTGGGGTCTGTAGGGGAATGTGTAATTTTCAGGATATTTTGTATAGTTCGTAATGAAAGCCGTCCTTTTGTTTTGTCCATGGCAGGTTACCCGGTGCAGTCTCAACAGACACTAATTATGAGACAATCACTTGAACTCGGTGCTGAACTTGGTCAGGGTGAGTTTGGCTCCGTACTTAAGGGAGTTTGGACAGATCCCAAAGGAAAAAAGGTATGGTATTGTGCAGTGCAACTCTAATCTGTTATTTAGCTCTATTTAATTAATTATTTCATTTGAATAGTTTTTTATAAGTACTGTATAACCCCCTCTCCCCCCGCGCGTGCGTTCTCGCGAGCCTCACTTCGCTTGCCCAAATAGGAGAGCTTGCTCGCAGGTTATTTGCCAAAGCCCTATCAATTGTTGCCTGAAGACCAAGAGCAATTATTAACGCACTAAACTGACGAGAAACTGGAAATTTAACCAGGCCACCCTCGTAAAAACGGTTTTAGAGACGAAGAAGGAAAACTGAGCGTACAACCCCATAAAAAGACAGCCCTTGTTACTGAACAACTCCTAAGGACCCATCGGGTAGCGTAATTGGTTTTTCTATACAGTTACTTATCCCAGGAATAGTGATTTATCCGCTAGATAACGTTATCCAGCTTTTGAACTACTGGGAACTAATGCGTATCTGGAGTCTTGTCACACACCACTGCCATATCGCCATCAGTACATCTCGCTGCCAACAAACTTACCACCAAGCTAATCTATATAAGGATACAAAAATTTACGCTATACAATGATTCTCTATTTTCCCTTATTTTTCCTGTTCCTTGTTAGGAATATGACAGCATCTTACAGTATACTCTTTGTTTTGGGGTTCTTTTTAGGTTCCAGTGGCGTTGAAGACTTTACACCCTGAGAAGATAGCTCATGGAGAGCAGGTATTTAACAACAACAACAACAATAACAACAACAACAACAACAACAACAATGTATTTATTTAAAGAAATATAAAGTTACAATACTTAATGTCCTGCAAATAGCTATAATGCTAATCTAGGCAGGACAAGACTTTAAATAAAGACGTTATTAAATTACATAACAAAAAAGAAAAGAAATACAATAACATGCAGAAAGAAACACCTTACTTTTAAATTCAAGTACAGGGGATTTTGTTATTTGAAGAAGGCTAAAATTATAATTGGAGGTATATACAACATATTAGGTTAACTTCATAAAATACTTTATTAAATAATTAACATTGAAATAATTATCTTCATTACCTAGAACGTTAAGGAGTAGTGATTTAATTTTTTTGCGAAAGTTAGATATGTTGAGAGTCTTAAGAGAAAGTGAAATAGAATTCCAAACAGACACAGCAATTCTAGTAAAATTCTTAACTTTTCAAATATATCCCTGCTAGATCTCCACGGTCACTTAGCAACATCTTCATCAGTTTGTTTACTACTGTAGACAGACAACTAAAAGAATTTGCAAGAAATATAACTATAAATAAACAATACATACAGTAGTGGGACAACCAAAATAACTGAAAAGCTAAACTAGTTGGGTGACCGTAATTATAACAGTTGAAAATGTGAAAAGTCAGGAAACAGGCACAGCAAATACATCGGTACGCATGAATGTCATAAACTTGGTAAGCAAGTATTCAGAACGAAACAAAATATCGGTAAAGATTAATAGAGACATGAACGGACACACGGGGAGACCAAAAAATAAAGAAAGAAGCTGTAAGAATCTGCATTAAGCAGTGAACTAAACACATTTCTCACGCGGTAAGCAAAACACTTCCGCTGATGATGACCATTCAAATCGAGAGAGTTCAACGCCACTTATACAAGTCCGTTCTTACCCATGAGTTTGTATTCACAGGAATTTTTACGCGAAGCACGCATTATGTCGGGGCTGGATCACCCGTGTATTGTCCGGTTAATTGGCGTTTGTCTTGGCCCGCCTTTAATATTGGTAAGTGTAACTTCCTTTGTTTTATCTCTCAGTTAGTACGCGTGCTGTGTTTGATTAATTATGCGATCCCCTTTACTCTTCTACCCAGATCTCTTCTGACAAAGCCTACAAGACATTAGGTCCGCATTCTACCGTACGGCCCGCCAAATTTTAAAGTTTCGTTTCCCGCCTACCTGATTGATTGATTGATTGATTGATTTTTTTAAAAACTTATGATCACGGCGGAAATCGCGAGAACTGAAGAGTCACCCTCGAGCGGCGAGCGAAGCGGGACGCGAGGACGTGGCTCACTCGTGTGTGTCCTTGCAGGCAAAAGTGAAATAGAGAGCAATCATCCGCCACTATTTGGAGTGAAGCTTGCAAACAGTCAAGGTTATTTGTTGCCAA